TGTACTTCATCTGTTTCTTCCTGTCAGCTTCAAATGCTCTCTGCCTGGCCAGCTCCTTAGCCTTACGGGCACTGGGGCTAGATGGCTGAATGGGAAAGTGAAAGAGGTTTTTCTTCAAATAAAGTATAATTCCATCTGAGAAGGGTAATGGCATGTATTGATATCTGGCTTCCAAACAATACACAAGTGGAAGGATAGGTTAAAGTCCTGCACTGAATGTTGTGTACCATAAGGATTAATTCTCTCTTTTTGTCTGACATCTCAAACGTCGACCTGACCCTGTTGACTCCCAGAAGTGTTTTACTTATACATTCAATAATTGTAGTGGTAGCCTATTTTTTTTTAGTACATATCTACAAGAGGCACATTCCTCCAAGCTGCCATATTAGATATTAGAATTGTGGGGCTGTTTGCAATAAAAGGATCATCGTATCTTTAACTGATTGTTAATAGAATAGTACCTCATCTTCATCCTCACACCCTTCGTCCTCGGACAGATGACCATGGGGCACGAAGAAGTCCTCCAAGTCTGAGTCTGCATCCTCATCACTGTCATCCTTCTCTCCCTGTAGTTAGCACAACAAACCATTAACTTCAACACTTCACTTAACAAGGCAATCAAAGGTCTTAACTTGATTTTGTCCCCCTTCCAGTCCCACAGACAAAACTGTAGTAGCAATGAGGATATCTTGTAATGCTTCACTGTGTATATTGGGAATTGTATAAAGACAGACAGACAGACAGACACACACACACACAATCCAAGACAGACAGGCAGACAAGTCAAAAACAATACTTCCGGTAAATCATGTGATCTATGCTTTACAATAGGCACACAGTTTTAAAGAATCTGAAAAAGTAGGGTTACTTGGACCCTGACCTCAGAGTGGGAGATGCTTTCTCCTGGTTCCTCCTCCTCCCACTCATCATCACTGTCAAACTCATAGTCCAGCAGGTCCTGCAAAACAACATAGATACATAGTTCAAGGCTCTAAGTGTAAAAAGCATTGCCATTACTTGTTTAACACTTGATATGAAATATCTGCACAGCTCCAGTTTTACCTGCACTGTAGTTCCATTGGCAAATGGCAAGCAGAGCCCAAACCATGGTTAAGCAAGAGTGACAAAAGCACAAAAATTGATCTAGTTTTCATTCCATGTTGCCCCCAGATGAGAATAAAGTAACCCGTGTACCTCGTCCTTCTTGAAGGGGTTCCTGGGGTTGAGCTGTTTGCTGGTCTTGTTCCAGGTGCCGTAGTAGGCAGGGCGATAGTTCTCGTGGAACTGTAGCAGCTTCATGCGCACATGCCGCGTCGGGGGTGAGGACTCCACCACCATCACATCATCAGCTTCCAGACTGGGCAGGAAAGTCACAATTTAGTCCAACTGACCAAAAAGACCGGTAAATTGGAAGCAGTGCATGTAAAGCACGACGCAGCAAGTAGAAGCCAGTGAGATACCGTAAAATACAGACCAGTCCAGAACACCTGTATTGACATCATGGCCCAGGTATATATAACAAATACATCTGTTTTGAGATTACAGACTTTCTTGAAACAACCAGGACACCTGAGTGTAAAGTGCCTTCCCAAGGGCAAAAGCTACACAACATTGGAGCCTGCTATGGATTCGAACCCAGAACTTTTTACTAATTCAACTAGATGATTACAGCTCTCTTCAAATATCCACGGTAGTCCTTACCTGTTAGGACTTGGCCTGGGGAAGGTCTTGCCAGCAGTCTTGGGGACATGGTGTTTCTTCAACTCAGCCAAATACAACTCAGTGCAACTCTGAGAAAGGAGAGGAAAGAGCAACATAACACAAACATAAGTAGGTATGAAATGTAGAAACCAAGTGAGGTGTGTTACATACTTCTTACTCATTTACTATCTATCTACATAAGGAAAACAAGAACATTTCTTATGTAACTAGTCACTTCAACTCTGTAACAAAAATCATAATTCGTCAGAGGAAGCAACATATTTTAGATGTCTGTGCTAGTTTTGTTGGCAAATGCTAAAAATAAAATATGACTTCTAGGACAATAGGAAGTTCACACCTGTTTCTGCAGCCCCTGGTCCACCCTGGTGAGATCGAGATTCTCCACACGAACACACGGCGCCAGCTTCATGTCCTTCTTTACTTCAAACGGCATGAAAGCCCCCACAGGCTGCTGCTCCTCCTAGAAAGAGTTGGAAACTTTAGGTATTACTATTTCACAGCTATAAGTACATGTATAACCTGTTGAAATATAGGCATATTGAAGAAAAGAATGTTGCTCTTCCTGGAAAGAGTTGAGCAACTACTAGTATGACCTTACCGTTAACAACAAAACCATTCCACACATGTAAATGGTGACCAGTTGAAATATAGGAACATTCAAGAAAAGAATACCATCTTTATTCCAACATACTGGGTAGTCATCTTATGGGTTCCTTGCAAGTCAGGACATGATGAATGTTAAACTTACAGGGAGTAGATTTTGGCAACAGTGCTATGAAAAGCCTTTTAAGTGACACCTTTCCAGGCCACATTTTCCAGTGGATTGTCAAAGTTGCTGGCTGGAAAAGGCACATCACTATCCGAAAACGAGCCATCAGCAAGGTATGGCTCCAATCTTCAGACAACCTGTCAGGAACTCATGTGAGTGACATGCAGATTATGATGGGGCTCTGGCATAGGGTAGCAAAGTTGAAAGGAAGCTTGCTCACAATTTAGCATGGTCTGTGTAGCTGTCTTCTGATAATGACAATTGTACATGTGATACAAAATTTGGCCATCACAGCCAGGGTTGCCCTAGGCTCTGACAAACTTTGCAACATCTCTACCCATCTTTGTGCATGAAAGCAACTCTTATTATGTGTTCTTCCGTAAATGTATGACAATCTACATGTCCAAACTTACCTTCGTTTCAGCTGGGTCTACCTTGGGCTTAACAAAGAAGCTCTGGAAAGCAGCTTTGACTTTCTGTTGCTTACGTGCCTGTAAGGAATGCAATTGGGATGTGAGTAGGCATGAGTGAAACAAAAACAAACTTTCCACTGCTGCTTTATGAGTAATATGATGTCTTCAAAAGCTGTCACCTTTTCTTCTTCCACCTTCTTCTTTTCCTCCTCTTGCTTCTGTTTTTCCTCTTCTTTCTTCTTCTTCTCTTCTAGCTTCGCCCTGGAATCAAAATAACAAGTCAATGCCTACAAGCCTTAACCAAGCACACTGTCATTCGAAGGTTAGATGTCACATTTATTTGGTCTTAGAAGAGATGAAAAATACCTTATTTCTATATTACAATGTATTTTACCTTTCATGTTTTATAACACAGATTTTTCTTACTCAATGGCCTCCTGTTTCTTTTTTCTTTCTTCTTCTCTTATCCTGAGTTTCTCCTGTCGTTCTTTTTCTTCTGCCTCCTTCTGTTTCTGCTTCTCTAACTCCTTCTGCCTCTTCTCCTCTTCCTTCTTTTTCCTCATCTCCTCCTTCTCCAGCTCTTTCTGTCGCTTGGCTTCAGAGCGAAGTCGCTCCTTCTCAGCCCGCTCTTCATCCTTTATCCTCTGCTTTTCTTGCTTCTCTCTCTCCTATTAACCAAGATATGGAAGTCAATTTGATGATAATATTATATACCAAATCATACACACAGCTTTATCTACCATAATGCTGAACAACAAAAATATACATTCAAGCCAAGAACCCCGTCTAAAGTGACCACCTGTGCATAACTGTCCATTTTTAGCAGTCCTCTAAATGGACTTTTGGGCAGTTTTGAAATCTGTTTTTCAAGATCAGATGAATGGCTCAATTTATGTGAAACTGTGGGTGAATTGAACAGGTTCCTGGATTCAAGTTTGATTGACTGTTTGACAAAGAAAACTTGTCAGGAAGAAAGCAAACAGCTTGAAAAAAAAACTGCATTGCATTAAGAACAACTGTATCCATCATTTACCTTTTCTTCCCTTTTCTTCTGCTGCTCTGCTTCCCTGGCCAGCTGCTTGGGAGTCTGAAGGAAAAATTGTACAAAATGTGAAAACAACAACAGAAAAAACAACAACCTGGCTTCTGATAAGCAAAATAATGACAAACTTTTCAATAGGATTCAATGCTTGTAACTAGGCTTCAATGATACATGTAATAATTATAATCACCTTGACTCTTGGCTTGGTAGATGGTCCCTTTGGTGAAGTAAAGGATGGAGTCGGAGGTGATGTTATCTTGTCTTTTGAGGCTTCAACTTCTGCTTTGACGGGGCTGCTCTCACTGGTACATCCTTCAGGTTTACCATGCACAGGGCTGGTGACTTTTACAACTTCGTCCTTTGACGTGTGCTGAGGCATCGTTTCTTGATCTACTGGCATGTCCTTGTTTCTTTCAGCTTTCCTGTCCTCAGCATACCTGAACATGTCTAGAATGGATTTCGACACGGGGCTACTTTCCTTGTGTGTGGGAGGTGAGGTGGTAGCCTGAGTACTGGACACAGCCTTGTTAGAACTGTCCGGAGACTGGTCGTTCTTGCTGGCCACAGCTTCCTCCTCAGGCTGGGTCTTTGTCACCTTGACTGAGCTAACTGTTGAGCTCTGTATGACGGACTCAATGGCCATGCTGATGGTGTCTGACTCCTGAACGTCCGACTGGCCCTCGTTCTTCTGCAGACTTGAAGCAACAGAAGGGCTACACCTCTCTGCCTCAACAGCTTCCTGCACCTGAGGTGTACGGACGGGAGAAGCTTGTTTACCTGCCATCTCCTCCTCAGGATCACTGTCTGTCATGGCCAGATCGATCATCATCGCCTCATCTTCGTTTGATGTTGATACCAGCGGCTGCTGAGTAGTCTGCAAGAAACTGTCAATAGTCTTGGCCTTTTCGTTCTTAGAGGTGGCCTTGATTGCCGGCGACTTTGGAGCTGGAAACATCTCTGAACTTGAGCTGACTTCGTTCTCCCCTTCGTGAACAGACTTAGCAGCATTTTCTACAACTGAGGCCTTGGACTTTTCCTTTTCCTTCAGCTGTTGGTTGCTGACTTTCTCTGCAGACTTGCAGGGAGAGTGGATTGATGACAACTTGGGAGTTTTGGGAGAAGCTACTTCTTCATTGCTGTGCTTCCTCTTCTTTGTGTTTGGGGTGTTTGGAGACATTGGTCCATTAAGTGGAGATACCACCTTGAACGGAAGACGAGCTGGCGACAAATGTATGGGGAAAACAAATTCATTTATACATTACTGTACAGGTTATGTCTTATCTAACAGAATATTCTCGGGGAAATTAGGCTTTTTTGTCACTTCTGATTGATGGCTCATTGAAAGGATGATGGTTACAAACTGAACTGTTCTGACAAAATCATCCATTTGAAATGACCAGCAGGCAGCAGCTCACAACAATCAAGCAATAGAAAGACAACAGACACTGTTGGAAATACTGAAAAATGTTGTGGACTAACTTTGAGAGGTGGACTTCATACATGTGTTACAAAGTAACAATTAAACAATTACATTTTATGTACACCAAAATATCCATCATTCAACTTTAGGGGACACAACTGGGAGATGATTGTACCTTGTTTCAACTTCTTACTACTGGGTGGGCTGGACAGGATGTTTTTGTCCTGGCTACGACCTGAAAACAACAAAAAATCTAACGTTATTCATAAACATTATGCTATATGTAGCTGAGCTATCAACTTTAAATGACAAAGGAATGACAATTGTATAACACCGATCAGCTTGGTCCTCTACCAGACAACTAAGTAACGTTTTTGACATACATATTAACTGCATATTGGACCCTACTTATGTTTGCTTCGAATTTACTAGAATGCGCGCCAAACTGCTATGAGAAAGAACCCATAACGTCAACGTTAAATCTCAGCTGGTCGCTTAGTACAAACATTGAAAAGGACTACAGAAAATCAAGTTTCCGCCAGGAAAAAGAAGGATCGTCATAACTGACGACATTTCCTGACGTATGACGAAAAGAGTCCTATGTACTTGATTCGGCGATTTTATAATACGTCTTTTAGGACATCTTTGACTTTACTTCTCTTGTCAAATGTAAATTTTGTAGAAAATGGCGGAAAATTTCCGAGTCTCACCATCGGCAACCTTCTCGGCCTTGCTGTCGCCCATCCTCGACGGATTTTGCGGCATACACTCTCCCAGCATCTTCGCAACGACCCTAAAGCTTTCTTACAAACAGCAAGAATAGAAGAAAGTGGGGAAATTTCATCAAATTGACCAGAAAAGAGAGAGAGTGTATAAGATATCTGACTACCTTCCTACTACTTCGAAATTGGCGGGAAGGAGTACTGGGGGGGAACGGAGGTCGGTTGGCATATTGGCCAGATCTGGTCATGTGATCAAAACATCAGAGCGTCTCTAGAAGAATACACTATTATTAGGGTGTGATATCTTTATACACATTTAATATTAGAAGAATGACGGATGTAAAAATCAATGTATCTATAAAATCAGTGTATTAACAGAAAATATCATATTTTAAAATGGTATTATATCTTATCAAATGCCTGAAATATACAATATATTTGTTATGTGACCCAACTATTCCCTAAAATTTTGAATGAACTCGTCTGATAATTTGGTGAGCTCGCATGAAAACGCTAACAGATAATACATGACGTACCTCAAAAAGTCTACTGTAGAGAAAGACACGACATTTTGACGGCCGAAAATTGGCCCCTACTCAGAGATAAAAGATCTGGTTTCGCACATAAGTCTTCGGTCAGGAATTTTATGCTTGGATGTTGTATGCATATCCGGTTTGGTGACGTCAGAGCCACTTCCTACTTCCGTGCGACCTCTAGGTCCCAGATCGGTGAACTGAAGTACTGCTGCTGGCAGGAGCTGCAAGGACCGTCCTGTCATTTGCCAAGGATCCACAACAAACCACACCAGAGATTGACTTTCTTTATAACACGTGGCAGTAGTCTAGAGTACAGCCGACACCATGTCGTTGGCGGGGTTAAAAAAGCAGTTGAATAAGGCCAACCAGGTAGGTGGAAAATTTGGACAGTTATCATGCTCGGGGTTGCTTGACCAGTTGTTGGTGTGGGGGGAATTTCTGTTGATGTGCAGCTGGGCTTGGACTCTGTCCCGCTCTGGTCTGTGTTCGGGAATATTTCCTTTCTTGTGGCTGGGTGTATCCGGCCTTTCTTTTTGTTGCGACATCCCGTGGCCCCATTTACTGGTACCGTTATAATTTCGCTGAGGGCGAAATGGGGGACGGACCTACTGGATTCTACCCTCACCTTTTGATTGTTTTGAATTGACTGGGATGACTATGCATCATTTTGTTCACAGTAATTGATCGCAATCTCCATTAGCAAGTCTTGTAATACCGGAAGGAGAGTACTAAGTATCAAATAGGCGAGACACTGGCCATCGAATATTGGGCCAAAACGGTACACAGGGAAGGTCACTGTCTTCCCAATCAACCTCTGCTTGGAGAGTGATGATTGATCGCGGTTTTCTGTCCTTTATTTCAGTGTTCACCTTAGCAACACGCACACAGCCGATGCGCGTGTGACTGCGTGTTTATGTGTATGTTTAGCTGTGTGTTCAGCAATCCATTAGATGTTACCAATCATGTTATAATTGCACATTATGCAGAGATGTTCCACCATAATCTTATTTAGGGGCTTGGCATTCACGATTCCCTGGTACTAGTAGTAGAAAGGAAGAGAAGCCCAGATGTGGATATTGATGCCATACTTCACCATCTGTGCTTCAGAGATATCACAGGGAAATCCATCATGAGCCAGGATGTTGTTGTGATGATATTATAAACATAGTAGTCTTGCATATATCATTGTCTACTATTACTGTAGATTTCATTTATTTTCACAGGGACTTACTTTTGTGGTAGGAGCAAGGAGGTTTGAATATCTCCTTGTAAGTTGTAGGAGTCAGTGTTAGGAGGAGGTTTTTCTTGGATGTTTGTGCTTGAACAATTGTAGTG